TGAATTTACAGCAAGAATTACTGTAAAGCATAGCGACAAATGCACAAATGGTTGACCATGCACAGAAACTCGCGCGACAAACAAAAGCGTTCGAAAATCAGCTAATGACAGTCCAGTAGCTCATTTGATAAATATTTTATTGATTCTAAACCGAACGCCTATTTCTCTGTCAAGACAGACAAACTATAAGCTAATCAAGCGAACTTAAAGACTATTACAATCATAGTCATCTAATACCTACAAACACATTAAGTACGAAATGAAGACATCAACGTCAATGACAATCAAGTTAATGTGAACAAAGACGACAATGATACATGAAAACGTCAATGGAAATATACAAAAGGTAAATGAATTAAATCATCCTAAATTTCTCACAAAATCACGAAAATTCTAGTAATGGCAAGAAATGACTATGAAAATGACAGTGACGCTAAGATCGTATTTAATTAGTGATACCAGGAGTAGTATACTGCCTGGTTACCTAGTTCACCAGTTACTATCTGGTCCTAAGCCCGCATAAACAAAGAACGTTGGGCATAGGACTACCAACCCTACCCCCGAAAACCAATCCAACCACTACAGAAACTTCAAAGCACACACAAAATATAATGCATAAAGTTAAACTTATTCCTGGCTGGAATTGGATAGGCGAAATGATGCCAATTGGTGAAAGCCTTCGGGAAGCCAGTCGGCCGATGTGTCTACTCTTCGGACATAGAATGTCCGAACAATGTTTGAACCTAGTAAGGCTACCCAGATTGCAAAAGAGATGAGTAGGCACAGCATATAAGTGCTAGGAATCTGAGAAACCAGATGCAATGGAAGTAGACTCTACAAACTGTCAACTGAAGAGGAGAGTCAATAATATACTCCAATATTGTCACCCAAACCACAACCACGAGCACACTGAGTTTCCGAGTGGCCATCATCATGTCCCCCTCTCAACAGCATCCAAAGCTCTCATCCAGTGGAAACCAATCTCCTCCTCCATGATCACGATCATGACAGCGACATTCAACTCATAAGGAAGGAAAGTCACAATCACACAATCCTACACTACGCACCTGCAAGTAATGCAGATGAAGAGAAGGAGGAGGAGGAGGAGGTATTCTACAGACAACTGCAATCGGAGCTGGACAACACCTCAATTGGCGACATCAAAATTCTAATGAGTGGAGTGATATGAATGCCAAACTGGGAGTGGACAACACAGGAAGAGAAGTAAACATGGGTTGAGAAGCGCTTGGTGAAATGATGAATGAGAATGGAGAACTGTTTGCAGAATTCTGGGCATTCAACAATTTGGTGATTCGAGGTAGTGTGTGCAAACACAGGCATATCCATAGAGAGACATGGACTTGATTTCACCAGACACCAGACACACTAGAAATCACATCGACTTCATCTCAATCTCAAGAAAGTCGAGATGGAGATGCAGCCTACTGGGCACAAAATCAAGAAGGGGAGCAAATGTAGGTGGTTCACACCACTCACTATCTAGTGCAACATACCTACCTTCAAAATCAAGTTGAAAACCTTCAAAGAATCTAGTGATGCACCACAGTTGAAGTTGAACACCCAGAACAGAAACTAAAGATTGAAACTACAAGGGACATCTTCACACCAGTCATCAGGACAAAATGGTAGACATTGAGCAACATCCCTGAAGAGACCTGTGTGGAAGAACAGTGGAACTCTCAGAAAGAGATGTGTAAGGAGACGTGCGTAAGTGCATTAGGAAGGAAGAAGAAGAGGCAAGACAAGGAATGGATGTCGAGGGACACACGGAAGCTGATAGAGCATGGAGAGGAAGAAGGTGATGGTGAAGCAGAAGATGAACCAGTGTAGTGTAGTGTAGTGCAGTGCATATATCGCGTTAATATGCTGAAAAAATGTTGCCCGTAGTGACCTGCTTGAAAATAATAAAGCACCTGGCTCACTTGTATGGATAAAGAAACTAAAAACAATCCGAAACTCAACCAGTCTCCGACTCGTCTCTTAATAATCCACAATCAAACAAAAACAGATGACATCGTGAGCATTTTCCAAGTAAAATAATTCGCATGAGGTAGATGAATTACATATCGAAAGCTTGTAGGAATTTGTAACAGAATGAGTCAACTACTTTAGCGGTGCTAAGTGAAACGTTGATAATACCCTTAACTTAAAATGTTCGCAAAATGAGGGGAAAGATCAACTGATTTGTGCATCGACTGTCAATTAGATGACAGAAATATCCAGTAACAATCAATCCTACGAGACGAAAGTCAGATGTGACTGTTGTAATTAGACAACATAAGTGACAGCTGTCTTCCTAGCACTTCATGTTCACGATGGTATCAAGTCAGAAATGCTTAAGCTCCAGTCAAAATATTCGACATCGCTGTAAGCATTTTCAATCCACTTGCAAAAATACTGTCATCCAACAACAACTTCCACCACCTCCGCACCAATGTTTATTCCAAACACATACACACTCGTCTTCATCTTACACTTCAACACAATACACTACCATCAATACTAATCACCCATCCACATATAGCTGCAACATAGTGTCACAATAAATCATGTCAACTGCAAAGCCTCAACATACAAAGTCACTTCTTCTCCCTCTTCTGCATCCATCCGCATCAATAACTCACTTCACATGTGTTACGGCATCCAGTCACAACTCACATACACATACACACACACACACATACACAAAATCAATCACAAACAGAAACACAAACAATCACAAACACAACACTGCTTATCGCACTCAGTCAGCATTCGTTCACCTCACAAGATTATTGTAGATGCGAATGAAAAGCAATAAAGAGATAATCACCAAACAACAACAAAACAATCCATCGGTGATACTCCATTAACTACATCGATCTATCTCAGCTCATTTGTTCTCACAAAATGTGTGTACAGTCATATCATTGCACTGTGGTTGGTGACAACGAAATGCAAAGTGTACATGTACTACTACAACATAGAGCTCCATCTCCAAGGCATCAATTACTAACCATAGCACCGAAATATATGAATTCGATTACGATTGACTCAAACGCTTTTCAACACACAGACATACCTGGTTGTTTGTGTAAGATACTGGATGGAATCAGTTAGCGACACAGACATACATCCTGGTACTTATTACATCTTTTCTTCTTGTCACCATCTCTCACATCGGTTACCACTTCTTCTTCTCCTCTTCTTACGACACCCTTGTCCTTCATAGCCCACTGCCTTTCTCCTCACGTTATTCTTCAATTCTTGATGTAAACTTGTGTGGAACTTTCATATTTCATTTCTCTTTAGTTTCATATATTTAATTATACCACAATAGAACATAGTTTGCAGACAGATGATCAGCGTTTGTAAACGCCTATGACTGACACCTGACTCATCACTTCATGATTGCTCCTTTCAGTAATTGATATTCTGTATCCCTACAGTAGAAGAGAGGATAATACAATGTTCATTCACAGTGCTGATACCTCACAGACATATCCAAGCTGCTTTATCGTATTACAGCTATATATCAAATAAACAAATCTAATATGGAATTACATTCTACCACAGTGCCCAAGTTTTACACTTATATTACAGCTTCACTGTTGAATAACTTATCTTGCTTGATGCAACGCTCTAGATATAGTAAACTTATGTGCAAACAATCTCAGTGTGCTATTTCTCGTGTAGGAAATGCAAAATGCGTTGGGCAAAGAGGTGGTAACCTCGCATAGCTATCCACCGTTCCACATCGTCATCATATAAATCGAATGTTGCTTCATCTTCCAACCGTTCACAAAGGGTGAGTGCAAACAAGTTCATCACTAGTGTAATAATTCCCACTTTATTGATACACCACAACTAGTATTCTTAAAGATACTGACAAAAGTGGTGAAATAGATTTCAACAGCCTGTATGTTGAAAAGCAGTAGGACATAATCTACATGGAGTAGACCGGAAAATCGGTCCCCAGACAACACATCACCGCTCCACCAATTTCCTTCTGGGAAACTGGGAAATATCATATGCCTTCACACAATAACGACTGTGACTTCAGTCACATTTGTCGAACAAATACAGACACGCAAATAATCATGGATGTATCATGGTTATCGCACTGAGCACATTTGAAGTAATATGGTGAAGTTGAGCAAGCAAATTCAGTCACATCGCTACTTCGAAAAAAAAAATGGACAGAGATGGTTTCCCGTCATAAATCCATCTGTTGTGAAATTTTATGCACTTTCAAAATAGTAACAAACATCTCCCCGTTGAAATCAATTTCATAGGATGAACAGTTTGAAATCACATTCTTATATGACGAAGTGGAAACACATGAAGTTTTAAAAAAGGTCTGCATGATATGAGATAATTTTTTAGCAGAGTATCGTACTCACCATACGGTTTCAATGAACAGTGGATGCAAAGAAGTTGTAAGGAATTCGCAACAAAACAGCGTTTGTGAACGCGACGTACGTTCACTTAATCAAACGCTCTACCGTATGTTGTGAATGTACTCAATGTCCAATTGTACACGGTGCCTCAAATCGAGTTTCGTCAGATACTTATACAGAATACAAGAGGCAACCTACTTGAAACGGTTATTTTGTCGACTGCAAAAACGCAAGGGGAAAATGGTAAAATTAAAAACATGATCACAATCCAGACACATGCTTCAGATGCAATGGAAACTTTTCAAAGTACAGAGATGTGCACTTCACACCCACTGAATCAGTCTAAGCACCGACATCATACTTCCACTCCAATCGAAATATCCCCATTATACATCTATACAATGGATAGGGCCATTCTAGCAGATACTATCAACGTCTCACAGCATTATAACCTTGAACATAAAAAATACTTAGTGGCTCATTACGTGTTTACAAACAACAAGAATACAACGGAAAAATCGAGTCAAGTAGATGCACAATTAATTTATTTTATACTATATATATATATATATATATATATATATATATATATATATATATATATATATATATATATATACTGAAAGTTTGTCGTTATACACCGAAAATAGTTACAGCAATAACGAGCGTACCAATGAGAATATCGAACGAAGGTAGACTGTCGTCCATCTACACAAAATAACACAATTGAGTACTAAAATACAAGAAGGAAACACTTATCAAGAAATTAACGTCTGCAGTGATTTATAACAGATGTCTTGGAATTTTTGAAGCGGAGAAGTAGGACTGAAATTCATTGGTGAGAAACTAATGCAGATAACCTTCACATGTCATGCTTTTATTCAACAAGTATGTAAGTATTTTGAACCCATCAAAAGAAATGAAGTGAACAATATATTCACTTAGAGAAAGTAAATCGAACAAGGCAAGTAACAACAATAATATGGTCTAATTTTATGTCACATGTACAAATATATTTTATAAAAACCATAGTTTCGGTAGTAATAACAATAATATTAGTTTTTTTTTTTAACTGCTCGCCATACATTCCGAAAGACTTTGGCAGATGATTTAAAAGTAATACATTTCACCTATTTATCAGGATTATATGAAGAGAGGCAAGAAAACCTGATAACCACTAAGATTGATGAAAAATTAAAGACAAAATAAACTGATAAAAGGGCAAAAAATAAAGAAATATCCTAGAAAAATATTTCACGGTTCAACGAATTGAAATTATATATATGGGATTGTTTAGAGTTGTGAATCGGCAAAGCACATAAAAGATATAAATCCCTTTTCTGATATAAATATAATATTTTAAGGACAGACACCTAAAGTTACAAAATGAAAGATTGTAGGAAAAATTAAAAGGGTTTCACAATACTACTCTATAATTGAAACAATAAAAGTATACTGTCAAATATATTTAATTTTCTTCTGTAATTTTTTCATCATTCTCTGTTTCATGTATGATCATCCATATGAATTTGATAAGGTGGATTCTGTTGTTTGTTTATTTGACAATGTTGTTGATTACACCATATTTTCGATAAATGTTCATAATAGGATGAATAAAAGCGTACAGCGTGTACAATACTAGTAGAACAACATAATTCTCGACATGAATGCATAGCTAATTGAGGAAAGCCTAAATCCACTGTGGGTACACCTAATTGTGATGATAATAAAGGTCCGATGGTAGAACCACAATGCATATCTTGTCGTGCAGCAAATTCCTAATAAAAGAGAAATAGATATTAATTTGTAATATTAAGTCAAGCTGGTAATAGTATACTAATACGGTGACTATATTGAAATAGAAACACAACAGCCCATAAAATTCAAGAAGAAACTAGAATTCTGGAAAGGAATATTAACTCCAATGTGACAGATCCAAAAGTACATTTTTGAATACATCTAAGAACATACCATGATTCATACTGACAATCAAATTGAAAACAGAAAAAGGAGAGCAAAGACAATATATATGTATAAAAAAAAGCTTAACGACTCAGGGTTACCACACATTACAAAACCATAGAAAGATAAGAAATCAAAAGAGGTTTATGTAACAATAATTCCAAAAAGTATCAAGAGAAAAAAAAATGAAAATGAAGGTTGAATGTTGTCAAAGAGATAAAGCGAATATACATCTAAACACCATCGTGTTAAGTTGTGTAAAGCATGTCACTGAAAGTCTCTAAAATTACTTACTGCTTACATTTTCGTAGACTCTAACCAAGTAGTTAGGTTACAGTTTCCTATGCAAACTGGAACAATATTAGAGTAACTCACGATTTAGCATGACCGCCAAACATCAAAGTAAACTCAGTGACTAAAGGTTCACAACCATATTGAATATCTCACCTTCCTTAATTATAACTCCATACTTAACATAATACCAGTTTACGCCAGTTACAACATACAGTAAAGACAAAGATGACCCAATACCCACAACTTTCTCATGTTATCTGCTTTCGCCTGTTTCACAGCTATACATCTGGAGAGACCACAAAACTGCACATTACACTTGTCATTTGATAGTTAATCGGATATGCTCACGGTATCAAGGGATGCTGTATTGTTTTGTTAATGCTAAGGACGACGTATGTTCCCATGCCCAAATTCCATCGATCCATCAGAGTAGATAATATTCATTGGTTACGTAAAGTTATCATCGCACTCCACCACTGCGCTAAAGACATTCAGCAGCCCATGAATCTAGCCAGTTTGTCTAGTCAACGAAACTTTGTTGACTATGTGCTTTAAGTCTATCAAACGATCTACTGATAAGGATCTAACCGTCTAAAAGTTAGTGTTGTTCAGGAACAAGTTCTTATCAGGAAAAAAACTTCCAATATATCATATTATTCGAGTAAAGTGCGTAAACGCGATTTGATCCTGTACGGGTAAATCAGACACATAACATATATATCTATGATTTAGGACATTGAGGTCCAGCTTATGTATATTCTATTTCTGATTCAAAACCAGATTTGAATGTTGAAAGCTCGAATACACAGGGGGGGCAGTTTGATTTTAGAATAACAAGAACAGTGTTCGGTGGCTAGAAGGGTTAGTGAAAAGTTACCAGATTCACCTATATTCACCAATCACTGATTTCTGCTGATACACGGGCCCCAACCAAACAGTATATATATCTGTAACAGAGCTCAGATCAATTATCAAAGACTTAATGCTGCAATGCCATGATTTAGTCAGGCTGATCGTAACCTTTAGCAACCCTAAACTCACTTCAGCCAACACTGTGGGCAGAGGCAGACAGTGGCTAGGTATGCACATAATACATGTTCCACTCACCTCAGTCGACAAACATTCACAAACTCATCAACTGAATTTCCTCTCCTCCCTAGAACTCCATACATGGCTTCTGCATTACTGATGCTGTGACGTCACGTCACACGGTTTATGCTCAGAAGGTAACAGCGGTTAAATACCCGAAGCCTTCTCGTGTCGTAACCATGTTTCGCAGCCATACAGTGGAGCAGAGCGAACTATAGCAGAGTACGCTAAACCCTCAACAGACAATCGGATATCACGGCACCGTTACAAGTGACTTAAGTTGCCAAAAGCTAACCGAGCCTTCTGTATCCGTGTCAAGATTACACCATCTGTGTAAATATAACAAAGTTTTTCCTGTTTGATAAGATCGATGCCTGAGAAGTTACGTCTATGGAAAAATTGAATAACAGTAGAAATAATGGACATCCTTGACGGACGCTACTCGATGTACACAACTCACCTGATATCTCACCATAAGATCTAACACGTCCAGGCGTGTTTGAGTAAAGACTCACCGAAAACAGCCTTGCAGATCTCATATTCGAACTGCACTCACGTTTATCTTGTTGCTATATTTTTTCTACGTCCATTTAGACGCAGACATACACGCGTCCAAAACAACGCGTGGTCACTTGTTCAAACACAACCTAGCATTATAATCCTACTTCAGATAACATCACGTATCAAGGTAGGAGGTCATTGGGCATGAGTAATGCAGGCTTAAACAAAGACTGGTAGCAAGGTAAAGAGAAAGTCAGCAATAACAGCAAAAAATAAAAATGAAGGACAGTTTCTAAAGTTGATGAGAATATGTGGTGATTTAGCTTAAACCTTGAAGAATATGTATTAGACAGCAGTAAGCTCTGCTTACAAACTCCATTGCGACTATTATTCAACAGTAGTATCTTATAATTTATCCAATAAATCACCTTTTGACAGCTAGTTCAACGAGCAACTACTTCTCCTGCATATCTACTTTCTTACCCTATCACTGAGTGGTCATTCCGTGATAGGACAACCGGGAGAATCACATTTATGCTCTTAAATAAGCGCCACTTACCGTTTAGCCGGTCTGCACAAATCGAAGAAGCATCATCTTACTATATTCCTCTAATTATATATGACATGCTTCAAAACCGGTCTATGGCCACGCTTAGTTTAAGGTTAAAGAGTGGAATGGTTTAACACATCACTGGTTAGTTGCAGAAAGAACCTCGGCTTGGATAAGAAAGGACTATTTGGTACATGCCAATTCGCGTGGTCTCTGGCACTGGAGAAATATCTAACTACCTGTTACGGGGGAAGTTCACCGCGCTGCAGTTCGTGCACTCCTATTATACAGCTGTGAGACGAGGGAGCTAAAAGTGGCAGATTTTTGAATATCACAGATATTTTATCACTGACATCTTCATATAATTGTTTGTAATTGGTGGGACCATCATATTACTACAGAAGAGGTTAGGTGAAGGGTAATAAACAAGGTAGACAAGTCGGTTGTGAACATTTATCAACTAGGTTGGCTTAGACCACGGTCAGACAAAGACGTGGCATCAATCCTATAGAGTCCTTTGACTGTTCGTTTGAGTCATAGAGAGAGCCAAAGGCTGTCTGGTTAAAGGCATCGAAACAACCGAAGTCAGAGACTGGAGAAACTGGTTGAAATGGCTAAACGTCGGTTACAATAGCCCAGATATACTGACTCCCTAAAGTATTCGAAACTTTGAACATTTTTACTAAGTTAAATCGGATTGTTCTCTACCTCCAATACACTTTTATGTATTTGATACCGTTTGTTCTTTGTATGCTGTCGTGAAGTGTGGCCATTTGAACTAAACCCTTTCTATATCGGTTCCGGCATTCATTTATCTATCTACCATTTGAACAACCAGGATAGACCGAAATGAGCTGATAACCACGTCTACAAGGTCATTACTCTTGCAAGTGTAATTTCTTTTTCAAAGTGACTCTTGTGATAAAAATGGTAGAATCAAGGAGTGTTCTTATATGACACCCACTGAGTTGCTTCTTTTCGTTTGTGTATTCAAGCTGAGACTATTTGCAGAATCATTTTCCGATAGAAATTGAACTTTTATTCAGGTAACACAATTTGTTAAGTAGTATAAGCATTGTATCACATTACTATTTCGAAAAGACTGGAATAGAATTTGATGTCATTTTTACAGAATGGTATGTGATTGAAGGTGAAATGGAAATCTGGACCGCGGCCGGATTCGAACCAGCGACCACTGGGTTAGTGGTCGGGTGATGTACTACCAAGTGAGTTACGAGGTCCATCTGCCGACCATTTCACTCCCTATCATTAAACTGGGAGTACTTGCAGCAGACCAGTCGTGGAGCATCATCTTACAAACTTATTACTGAAATGAAGTTAAACTGTGTATCTCCGGCATACAGTCATTTTAAAACACTATAATTATGCCATTCCAAAGTCTAAATTACATCGACAATCAATTGAAGGAAATGCACGTTCATATTTCATTCTGTTAAACTTACGTACAGATAATTTGAAGATTTAAAATAGAAAACAATGTAGAAAACTTACAAGTTAGAGGTTGTTTCTCATTTCGAAACACTTATCCTATTTAAATTTTGAGGGGGTTGTGGAGATTTGGAAATATTTCAAGTTGTTATTCATCGAAGACTGACATCAGTTGGAGGAACAAAGGAAACCTGGGAGCACTGGACAGCTGTTTCGTCCTAGTATGGGACTCCTCAGCAGTGCGCACCCACGACCCCACCAGCACTATATCGTGCGCTATATCGTGAGCTAACAGAAGTTGGAAATATGGAGCACTGGATTCTGACCCAGTGGCTCAATGGTAACGCGCTGGCCGCGGAACCTGAAGGTCGCGGGTTCGATCCCTGCTGGTGGGGTCGTGGGTGCGCACTGCTGAGGAGTCCCATACTAGGACGAAACAGCTGTCCAGTGCTCCCAGGTTTCCTTTGTTCCTCCAACTGATGTCAGTCTTCGATGAATAACAACTTGAAACTTATCCTATTTATCGAAAACAGTCAATCAATCAAACATCATTATAATCAGAATTTATAAGACAGACATAAATCGATATAAAACACCAACCTGAACTGGAACACCAGCCAGACGAGCGATTTCACGGACAACTGCTGCCGTAAGACCATTTGTAGCATAACGCTGTGATACATTATATTTTAGGACGATACCACTGTGAAATTGAGGTCTGTGATTGCATTCATGACGTTCACTCCACGATGGATGAACAGCATGCGTTTGATCAGCAGATACCAGGAATGATTTAGCCAACGATCGTTCAAAGTGCAAGTCAATATTACATCTGATACATGATGTATTGCTATTTGATACAGATCCAATAGGTTGGTTGACAGATTCTAAAGACTTAGTGAGACGATGAATAACTGACAAAGTATAGGCTGAATTTGCACCTTGTGTTGATGTTGAGCCAACTTCTTCATGATCATATAAGCACAATAAACGTACATTACACTCAGAAGATAAATTTGGCAATGATTCAATAAATCCATGAAGCCCAGCATAAGAATTAAACAAATTATCTAGACGTGGTGCATGAATAAACTCCTTGTGAAGGCCACCAACTCGAGCAGGTTGAGCATCTGCGAAATACAGCTCTAATTCTATTATATCCTGTTCATTAACACCAATTTCATTACTCAATAAACGTAGTAAAGCTGTAGGATGATGACTTTTATGTGATAATGAAACAAGACACATATTTGAACATGTATTTGTTGAATTGTTTACACAGTCTGAAGTATTTGTCGAACCTTGAAAATTTGGATTATGAAGCTGTAAAGAAAGTGAATAGAAAGATGTGACTTAAAAGAGAAATTAAAAAATTAAGTTCATAACTGCTATAATTAACCAAAAATACAAAAAAATAAGAGGATCAGTCAAGTATTTCCAGTTGTATTAGATTACTAAATAAGTAACGGATATTTTGTTGAAGACTTCTTTAACAGTATTACTATGCATCAAGCTTAGTTCAAAGAGTCTTGTATCCACCTCTCACATATTTTTTTTTACGAATTATGAGTCAAAAATAAGTGTCTGTTAAAGAAATATGAGCGAATATCGTGCATAAATTAGTATTTCCGTATATAAAATCAGTTATCTTATTTTGGTAGTACGATATGATAAAATACCATATTCTTACATAGAATAGGTATAACACAATGACAGTGAGCATTAGTCTTTGACTTTTATTGTACGAAAAAAGAGGAGAGAGTACTAGTTAAAGGTTTGCTAATATCTCATCTTCTAGTTAGTTAAGTTAGCGAATCATAGTCATCGGGAAGAGTACACAAAATGCAATGATAATCAGATGATTGGGCATGTGAAAATTCAGAATCATGTGATAGTATCAGAGATATAAATTTCGCGATTATCATTTCAACATGTGATCTAAGTTATATGAATTTATTTAGCGTTATGAACAATAATGAATGCGATTTTCACTATAACTGAAGATAGTTTAACAAAAAACTACATTTCACCCTTCGTACTGAGTACCATTTCTTGTCGTTACATCTACTCTTTGTTGTTATGACTTCTTTGATTTATCTGCTATCAATGTTGCACAGTACGATCCAGTTGGAGAACCATGAGATTACAATCGATTATCAAGTGTTAAAAATTCTAATATACTAAGAAAATGTTTAGTTACTAAGTCTTTATTGAAGAAGTATCAGACTAAAGCACGGCTTGAATTTCACATATGGAATTTAATGGGAGCATGTTTATATCACTAACTTACTAGTGCATATGATATTATTTATGTACAAAAATACGAACTGTTTCAATAACTAAATGTATGTTCAGTGCACTATGCCTCGAGTTACATCTTTTGTGCGAAGTCTGAGAATACGTCTTGGTTGCCCAAACCTCGGGTTCCAACTCCGTTCCACCTAAATAGTTTTGACCAACCAGGTAGTATCAACAGCCCTCACATAATATGTATGGCTGATTGCTCACTGAACGAATGTGAACAAAGTTTAGACTTCAAAATCTCGGTAGAAGGAGCGGGTCTCGAACCAGTGACCTACTAGTTTCCAAGTCAACTATCAAAACCATTGAGTTAAACTTGTATAGTACATATGCATAGGTAACGAATACATAACGGTGATCGCCTACCACAACTGTGCTTGGATAACCGTCTATTTTTAGCCAGCACCAATTTCAGACATAAAGAAAGGCCCTGTCTGACGTGGGGTTCACCGAGCTCAATTCAGCAATGGACACAGGTAGATCATATTGCTCTTAGTCATCGATGGGGAGGTGCGGTGGAAGACTGCTGCTTCTTCTGAAGTACATGTTCGAGCGCATCTGTTCCTGCATCTCAATGAACGTAGGAAAAAGTTGGCAACAGAACCACTACGAGTGCTGCTAGACAACGAAAACACTAAAGCAGCGTTCAGTGAGAAGTCGGCTAGGCAGTTATCGCAACAGAAGACTATCACTCATCCAGAAGAAGCTTGGTGTCATCTCCAGTCTGCTGTAAAAGCAGTGCTGAAGACCATAGCTGACTACGAAAGAGTGGCTAAGTAGAGCCAATGGATATCAGCAGCTTCTTCCAAACTAATGGATGCACGTGAACGCATCCGTGAAGGCTCTGAGTACAACGAAGAGCGAGCACAACTTAAAAGTAGACTGAGAAAAAAAGTCTACGCCACGACTGAGAACAGTGGTGGGCAGCGAAGGTTAAACAGATGGAAAAGGCAGCGACTGTCGGTAACAGTGGACAGCTATTTAGACTTATTAAGGAAACTGGGGGAGGGGGAAAGGTCAACAACCGTTAGTGACGCTATTGCGGAGAAGGATGGATCTGCGATTCACTCGCAGACACGACTGGAACGATGGGCTAAATACTCCGAGGAGCAGTTTAACTGGCCCCCAGCCACCATTGCGTTGCCCGCTATTCAGTCGGATCCTGAATTTAACATTGAAATAGGCCCCGCAACACTAGCAGAAGTTGAGAAAGCAGTAGGTAACCTGAAAAAAGGAAGAGCGGCAGGACCAGACGGACTAACTCCCGAGGTATATAAGGATGGTGGTAAGGTGCTCTTAGTCAGGTTAACGGAAGTGTTAACCAGTTTATGGGAATCAAATACGATCCCCTCCGACTGGTCTAAGTCACTCATCATCCCAGTCTTCAAGAAGGGCGAGAAGTCCACTAGTGATAACTACAGAGGAATCAGTCTGACGAACAGAGTGTCTAAGATTATAAGTCTTATAATTCTTCAACGCCTGAGTGGAGCTCGGGAACAGCAAGCCCGAGAAAACCAAGGAGGCTTTAGACCAGGCCATGGGTGTATCGACCAAATATTCACACTGCGCCAGGTTCTGGAACAGAGGCAGGCTCACTGATGCCCAACAATAGCTGTACTTCTCAACCTGAAGGCGGCATTCGACTCCGTCGATCGAGAAGTTTTATGGTAATGTCTCTCTCGTTAGACCTAGAATATGCAGATGACATAGTTCTGTTAGGTGTAAACGCTGACAACGCTGACAGAGTTTTCTGGACACTTTGAGTGGCAATTTCAGAATGTTTGGGATGCGTTTCTCATCACACAAATGCAAATTGTTGCTCCAGGATTGGTATTCAACGGTGTCTCAGCTAACAGTAGAGAGTGTAGTGGTTGAGCGTGTCGACCACTTCACTTACCTGGGAAGTAGGATCGTCTCTACCCCGGTGGCTCAGTGGCCGGTGAAATCTCTGCACGGATACAAAAGGCTCGGTTGGCTTTCGCCAACTTACGCCACCTATGGGTCCGCCGTCATATCCGTTTGTCTATTAAGGGTCGCGTATACTGCACAGCAGTCTGCTCTGTTCTAGTGTATGGCTGAGAAACATGGCCATTGAAGGTGGGAGACATGAGAAGGCTGGCTGCGAGTGTTTGACCACCGTTGCCTTCGTAGTATAGGCCATATTCCCTGGTGTCACCAAGTGAGTAACGCAGAAGACAGGTGTAGAGTTTTAGAGAGAAGAGGTAAGTCAGTTGACGAGGTTGTGAACCTTCATCGACTAAGATGGTTGGGATATGTACTACGTATGCCTAGTCGCCGTTTGCATTGTCAAACAATGTTGGCCGGAGTAGGTTCAGGTCGGAAAAAGGCCTGAGGTGGTCAGACTAAAGCATTGCATAAATGTATGAAGTCTTTGACTGTTGGTTTGAGCTATATGAGGCGATGTAGACTGGGTGGTTGAGGTCCGTGGGACAAGAGAAACCCGTAGTGGGAGACTCCAGGTTACGTATCTTCCATGTTACTGCCTTATTACTTGATGTGCTGATATGAGATGTGGGAACTCGGGCCGTTACGCAGTGATGCCTGGTCCTATGTTGACGTAGATGGATGGATGGATATGCATAGATGGATAACACAATTATTCTCGAACCCTTCGTGTTGAGTCGGATACATAACTGAAGCTTCTTGGGATGCTTGTTGACTTTATCCGGGTGCTTGTATTCTTTATTAAACCACGTGGTCTCCTGTCAACTAATTTCAATAGACTGCAAAAAGTGTGTTAAAACTATTTTGCGACATAATATTGAAATGTTTTAGGTTGTAAGCAGCTGATAAAAAACCAGTGAAATAAGGTGATGCCACATTACTCTGCTTCAATCGATTCAGAAACAAATGACTTAGCGTGAGGGAATTGTACAGAAAACCAATCTTCAATGAATTCAAAATCTTCAACATATAGAACTTAATATGACCCATAGACAGATGGTAGGGACCAGCCAACTGGAAACCAGTCAAGCGATAACAACAATTAAAACGGTCAACCTGCAATGAAAAAGGAGGATAGGTTACCCCTATCCACAAGCAAATAAAACTGAAAGTCGGTAAATAGCCTTCACATTTATTCATGCAACTTGAAAACGCTTAACCTCACGGCACCAGGCGCATAGAAGAAGGGTGAAGCGATAAGAAGAGAGAGTAGCGAGAAGCCGTAGAAAGAGAGCAAACAAGAATACAAAAACTATTAAATCCGGTACTAGAACTTACGGCCCCCCACTGTTGGTCGGCTTCGACCGAATCGATGCGGAAATCTCAATATGACAAGTAGGGACGCCATCACTTACTCGGATACAAGTATATTCAGCTGATGAGTTCCAAATAGGACGAAATGTGCGTCTTGGATCCCCTTACCCTCCCTAATATCAACAATGCAATTTGGTATGACGATTAAGATGATGATAATATTTTGATGCATCTCAGCCACTGAAAGCAACTTCGAACCATATAACCTATTTAGCGAAAGAAAAATAGTAGAAACCAGTCCTTTTTAGGCGACTCGGCGAATGAGGTTGTGAACCTTAATCGACTGAGTTGGCTTGGACATGCACTGAGCCTGCTGATTCTCCACCTACTTCGATGAGTAAGCTAAAATAACGTTCAAAATGGTCAGGCAAAGAAGTGGCACCAGTCGAAGGAGTCCCCGACTGTTGGTCAGAGGCGTGTAAAGAGATGTAGACTTACTATTTGGGGTCTCCGAAACGAAATGAAACAGTGGTTAAGGAAAACTTTTGTCGATATGGCTGAAAGTCAGTCTCAGTGGCGCACATATATTCACTCCTTGATATCTAAAGCTTGAATATTCGCACTAACCATTATCCTGAAGTTATTTGTTCTCACATACACAACTTTGTCTACTTTGATACCACTCTTACTCTAGTCACCTGTTCTTTTTATTACTGCTGTGAAGTGTGGCAACTTGAACCGATTCTACGTTGCTTGCGTCTGTCTGTTTGTCTATTCTTTTCTGCAAGTTGATTTTTATGGATGAATGTTGGCCTCAGCTATTTAGGTAAATGTAAACTCCACGGTTGGGGTTCGCATGAGAACCTAAATCAATAGTTTGGGACATGCGGCGATTTGGCTTTTAATCGATCTCAGTAGCCCAAAACATCCACACCTCACCTCCATCTACACTGTCGTACTTGTGATCTCTGTCTCTCCTGTTTCCGAATCTTTTATTTATACACCCTATGTAACATGTAACAACTTGGGCAGCTACGCAGTAATCCTAGGTCCCAAAATGATATTCATGTAACCTGATGTAAATCGAGCTATAAAACTGAAATAGCAGTCATTTCATACAACTCATTAAGTACTCGAGTACACCACACACCATACGGATGGATAAGTCTGAAATTTAGCTAATGTCACAGTAACAAACCTAAAAATGTTTTGAGTCACGTTCACAGGGTTTACATAAAGTTGATAACACAGGAAATAACCATGTTGAAACTAGTAAACCCTGATAAATGAACTGTGTTCATACGAAAAAGCACACTTAAGTAAATTGTCAATAATGCGTACATACGATGACGCAAGAAGTACGTTGCCTACCTCCCCTAAACTTCAAGAATAAAGACAACTGAGTTACTTTCATGAATCAACTCTAATACGAGACAGCTTACATCAAAGGCATTGTCAGAATACCCACATCATAGAGGGCTTTCCCTACACCCGCTAGTATTGTGCCAACAATAAATCACATCAATGGGGGCGGTTCCGACAAATTTCAAGGGTATCTGACATCCAAATAGACAGATCAAAAGAGAATCGAGTACTCAGTTCAAATAGCCACACATCATAATAACAACGCAAAGGAAGTGGATAGAAAAAAGGATGATAATGAAATCGACAAAAGTGTATGAGAGTAGAGAGGAGAAATAAATGAACATCGATAATTGCACAAAATTTTGAAGATCATAAAAAGTTTATACTTCTGCTCTACTGTGATCGACTTTCTAATACATAATCAAGACCCTTCAACAACAAACTCTTGGCGTATCGAGAACTTCTGTTAGACAGTCTACACCAATATACATGACTTAGAACAACAACCAGAAATCAAATCTAAATTAGAGTTTCATTCAATCACATACGTAGTTAGAATATTCGGCACCAACAATGTCAAAACGGAACCTGGCATTATTAAGCAAAAAGTTAAGTCGTCACATTTTATATCAACGGACAAAGTAAAAAGTAACAACGCAGAAGATGAGGAAATGAAAATAATACTACCGAAAATCTGAGACAGCTAAAGGACAAAACGGAGAACAGATGAAGCAAACAACGAAGCATAATATAGGATGGAGATAAAGTAAAGATATATCTCTGTTTCTGAGATCGGCTTCAAGTTGCGTCACTCAGTCTTTTATCAGAGGTTACAAGTCAAAAGTTAGAAACTTCATGCACTGGTTCCAAACCCTGGCCTGGTCACCCTTAGTTTTCTTCAACATAACAGACTCTAGCTAATATGACGCGTTGGAGTAGACGACTTCTCACTATGAGTGGCACATAATTTATCTACAATAGTCGGTAAAGGCTCACAATCTCACCGATTGACTTACCTCTTTCGCTCAAGACCTTACGAATATCATGTAAACAGTTTGTGCCAGCATCGATTAAAGTGATGTAATCGACTATAAAATAAAAGATTGACCTTGCATTTACTTGATTTGAAGCATTTACCCCAAAAGTAGTAAATGCAGCCTTACATGCACCTAGCTGATTGCAATACGACCTATGTTGGTCAACATTTGGGTAAGCGAAAAACTTGAGGTGACTGTTGACAGATATCGATAATGGAAGCTAAGCCCGATCAAAAATGTGACGTTCATATTAATGCACTAGATCATTTCCGAACCACCAGCTAACTACGCTCCACTAACAAGTCGGACTTCTGCTCATCCTTAGCTGTCCTACCTAAACAGTGAAGTATTCCAACCGAAGAGAAAGATATTTGTCAGTCACATTAAGTGAAGAACAACTTTTCGAGAGAAACTAGACACTTTGTGGTTTCAGTTCATGACTGACTAAGTGACTGACTGACAAAATCAACGTAGAACCTCGCACACATGTCCATTCACTCAACTTGCCACACTTCATACTGGTACACAAAGAATACGTAAATAGAGTAAGATTGATATCAGAGTAACAGAATAAATAACTTCAAGATAATCCTTAGTGAGAACATTCAAGCTTTACATGTCAAGGAGTGAATATATGTGCGCCACTGAGACTGATTTTCAGCCATTTTAAGAAGGATCCTCAACCACTAATTCCCTTCATATCAAGTACCCCACTCGACTCAGAACAACGGTTAGAGACTTCATCAACTGGTGTCTGGTCTTCGTATAGCCACTCTGAACCCTATTCCACCCCAATCCAAATTCCCCTAACATTGCTTATCGAAGTAGGCCTTGACTCGGCATGCGCAGTACATGTCTCGGCCATCTCAGTCAATGAAGGTTCACAGCCTCCTCAATCGACTTCCCCATCTCGATTAGTACCATTCGCCTGACCTCAACATTGCACACACGCTGATTCCACCAAACCACAGCAATGCAGCGAACACACCCGTAATCAAAACCCTGTGGTAACTTCGTATCTTCTACTTTCTACGGCCATATCTCACAGCAGTATAACAGGAAAGAATGGACTGAAGCGCAGTATATTTGTCCTTTGATAGGTGGTCGGATATCTCACCAGTAGATACCAAAGATGATTCAGGTTCACGAATGCCAAACGGGCCTTCTGAATCCAAACTGAGATTTCGTCAACAATCACTCCGTTCAAGCTGAAGCAACTCCCCGAGTAAGAGAAGTGGTCAACACATTCCAGTTCATGAGAAAATCAAAAGTGTAACATTCCACAATACAATCCCTTTACCATTTTTATCATCACTGTGCTACTACGAAGTGTGGCATATCGAAGTAACATGGGATTGTACCAATTTATATCTCAGTTCTACTTACTCACGTTTCTCTGAAAAGGTATAGTTTTCATTATCAGTTACTTTTTAAATGAAATGAATCATGTAGTGCAACTGTATTGTACGGTACTTCATAAACATAGAACTTCTTTTGCGATATAAAAAAAAAGCGTCGGATGAATTTGTCTAACTGTGGAAAGCACAGGTTTGTACACTTTTTAGTCTCATCTTACCAGAGTTACGCGAATTTCAGTGCTAAATATGCATTCGCTTCACATTTTGCCTTCTCTGATATTGGCTGTCTGTTGAGGGTCTAATACACTGCCTTGCACTTCGTATGTTCTACTGTATAGCTGTGAAACGTGGTCATTTAAGGTAGGTACATGAGAAGGCTTCAGTTATTCAACTGGCGTTGCGTTTGTAGCAGAGATCGTGTCAGGATGCCACCACGCTAGTAACGCAGAAGTCACACGTAGAGTTTTAGGCAGAAGACGAAAGTCAAGCGATGAGGTTGTGAACCTTCATCTACTCAAGAGGTTGGAACATATTTTACGTATAGCCCAATCACCGTCTGTATCATCACGTTGGCCAAAGTAGGTTCAGGCATGAAAAAGGGCCAGACTAAAACATAGCACCATTGCATTAAGTCTATGATTGTTGGTTTGAGTCGTGCCATAGAAATATAAACTTTGCGATTGAGCTCCGTGTGACAACGGAAACCAGTGGTTGAAGACTCCAAGTAATAAGGTTTAGAATTGATCTCAATGTCGTAAGTATATCTAAACATGATCTCCATAATGAATTCAGTATTTTTTTTCATTCCTCTATCCTCCTTTTTACTACTTTCTGCCTTTGACTGCTTTCTTTTTCATTTCTTCATCTTTTACTGTAGTGTTTTTTCGCTTGATGTGGTGATATGAGGTATGGTAACTTAGACTACCGCGCAGTGAAGTCAGATATCATGTTGATTTTTCTGTTTGTTTATCTCATTTGCTGACTGATAACTGAAAGACGAAAGTTTACCGTCAATATTAAAAGAGATCGAAGCTTAATTCGCGATAAAATACTGAGTTATGACTTTGAAAAGTTAAAAGACGCTGGAATTTTTAAAAAAAACTCATTAAACATTGTCATTAATAACACAGATTTTCATATTTTGCTACCAAAATCACTGCACTTTTTAATGAATGACAGAAACTGACCTGTTCCATTAAACTTGTGCATAGAATTGGAGATAAATGCTGTTCATTATTTGGATGAAATCCGACAGTTTTAATTTCCTGGTTAAGATGAATTGCTAAACTAGGAACGCAGGCAATAGGATCACTAATATGCACCAAACGTTGTTCTAAGTGTCCCTCAGGATTGCGAATTATTACACGTCCAGCCAATGTTAACTCCCGATCAAACCACGTATACCAAAGTCCACCACCGTATGTTTCAACACCGAGTTGAATATAACCTTCTTTTAAACGTTCAGAATTTGGTTTTAAGCGAAGGCATGGACTATCAGTATGCGCTCCAAGTAAAGTGAAACCATTGCCTATTTCATATTCACCTCCAACAGCTGCTGCAATCACAGTTGACTCATTTTTTGTGACAAAAACCTTATCCATAGGTCGTAGACTCCAAGGTTCATCTTCAAGTAGCTCACGGAAACCATGATTGGTCAATAGATGTCGAACTGTCTGAATAACTGATGGTTCGAATGACAATGAAAAAAATAAAAATATACATGATCAATACAATCACTTATCAAATGAAGAAAATTGAAACAAACTTTTTTTCCAGTTGTTTTAATTTGAAGCAAAACTATGTGCAAAATGAATGAAAGGTTAGTAACAGTATTGTGATACGTCTCCAACAAAGGCAGATAGCAGGAACCTTTCAATCTACCTAAAACATCGATTAGGAAGGTAACCAGAGAAGGATTTTCAAGACTTGGAGAAAACTAAAGAATGATAAAAATGTGTACTCTTGATACAATCATGATTGAATTACTTACAAATTATTCGCTCTTCAAAACTTGGTGAATTGATGAGTAAAACAGCATAAAACAATACCATGTATAACTCTTCAACGCTTGCTCAACATAACTGAGGCTGTGGTAATAAAGTTGATCAAACCCTAACTGTGCATTCACAAAGATCATGTTTAAACGCTATTATTCCCTTGACCTTCAGCAGACTAAAAGTCACTCCTGTCTTCGTTGTTCGTTATGTTTCCGTTCAACATGACATCCCTCATCTGTATATATGTCATCCAAATATTGATAAATTTAAGAACAAGATATATATCAGCGAAGAAATATTTCTTTTCTGTACAGTTGTATTTATACTCGGTAAAATGACAGATAATTGCACTAAAAAGTTGCTCAGTCAATATTCAAAATATACAATAGATGTAGGTGGTGGTATTTGTTCAAGTGGAAGAAATGGAAAATGGACCACTGAATAGGGAACAAATTGATAACAAGTGATGGTTTGGTTTATCAAACGCCAGCAAAGGAAAACGACTTCATTCATATGTGAACACCTAGTTGAACTAGGTGACTCAGCACCTTGAGACTCATCCTTTAAGGTAACTTACAGAGTTAAACTGAACTATCCCAAAGGTTTACGTTTCCATCACTTATGCATAGCTGAAGCATACATGAACGAAAACCAAAACTTTGCGTCCAAAAACGTTTTGTGAAACCACTTTCTCTACCTTGGCCTTAACAATTCATTTTGGTGATTTTGTCGATTTCAATTCACTTCACTTTGCAATACTTCTCTTTTATTATCATCATTATCACTAATTTTCACTTCATTGACATTTGACTCATATTTCACTACTTAATAGCAATTCATTCCTCATTCATAGACCTATTTTGCATGTTTCAGCTAAATTATCACCGTTTTACAATTCTTTCACAGCATGTATCCTTTATCTCACTACTTGTTATCAATTCGTTCCTTATTCAGTGGTCCATTTTCCATTTCTTCCACTTGAACAAATACCACCACCTACATATATTGTATCACTAATGTCAAGTCAGTGCTTCTATATGATTCAGAGACTTGGCGCGTTACGAAAAGCATTTTCAACAAACTACAGACATTCACCAACAACGGCCTACACTGGCTCGTTACTGAAGCTCAGGTGGGCAGAAAGAATAAGCAACAAGGAACTCTGACTGGCAACGAACCAATCAAGAACCTATCGCTCAACAAATATGCAGATAGAAGTGGAGATGGGTTGGGCATACATTGAGAAGACCATTCGGGGACATCACGCATCAGGTCAGTTGCTCGAGTGGAATCCAGATGGGAAACGACGAGTTGGGCGCCCAAGGGTGACATAGAGGAGGTCGTGTGAAGAAGAAATGAGAGCTTTTGGGCAGTCGTGGAGCCAGGTTCAAAAGATCGCAGAGAACAGAGTGGAATGAAGCCCTATGTTCCACAAGGAACCTAAGGGACAACGTTTTAGTGTAATTATCTGTCATTTTACCGAGTATAAATACGACTGTACAGCTTGATAATGAAGTCGTTGAAAAGAAATATTTCTTCGTTGATACACATCTTGTTATTATTCATGAATAAATGGGCATATTTCGTCAATTGATAGATTTAACAAAAAGAAGTCGATTTTCCTTACAGCCCCTAAATCTCACTCCATTTTGAAAATGTAATTTCTCCTAACCTGGTTGTAGAAATACTGAAAACCTGGGAGTACTGGACAACTGTTCCCAACCCAGTGGGTTAATGGTTACCTACTGTTCATAGAATCTGTTCTCGATTCGATCCACGACAGGTTCATGGGTGCGCACTGCTGAGGATTTCCAAACTAAAGTGAAACAGCTGTCCAGTGCTCCTAGATATCCAGTGTTTCTTCAACTGATGTCATCCTATGATGAATAGCAGAATGAAATCAATAAATACATCCCCATAAACCTTAGAATTGAATGAAATGCTATTATAATTGTGGAACATGATGAAAATTTATTGGAAAGAATATTTTCCGTTCATATTGTTGCATCAAATAGTATTTGAACAATCGAACAGCCTGAATTTGATATGAAGATTCAAACAGATGGTATAAGAAAACAAGTGCTATCATCTTTATACGGAAATGGGTTTAACGTATTGTCTGGTTTATAGAAATATAGAAGTGGTTAGATAGTTTCATCACATAGTCAAAAAATCGTCACCGTGATTACAAATTACCGTCTACAAAGATTAAATCTATTGTGTGATATACGATTATCAGATGAAACACTTAGTACGTTATATCGGTACGCCTAATTTGACTCATATCAATCAATCAGATATACGCGTTATTTGAATGCATCCCTGATCATCATCATTATCAACATAGGACCAGGCATTACTGCGTAACAGTCCGAGTTGCCACACCTCACATCAGTTCATCAAGTAAAAAGGTAGTGAGGTGAAGGATGAAGATAAGTGAATGCAGTCAAAAGAAATATAAAGTATGAGAAGAAAGGAAAGAGGAGTGACAAAATAGTGACATTCGGTATAGCGTTGTTTAGATGAGGATAATGTGTGTATACATCTGCACCACTGACTTCGGTTCTCAGCCATGTCATCACCTAGGGTCTCCAACCACTGGTTCCTCTTGTCCCGTGGACCCCAACCACCTAGTCTACATCGTCCTACATGGCTTAAACCAACAGTCAGAGACTTCATACATTGGTGCCATGTTTTAGTCTGGCCACCTCAAGCCTTTTTCCAGCCTGGACCCACCTCAGCCAACATTGCGTGATCAGGCAATCGATGACTAGGCATATGTAGTACGTGTACAACCATCTCAGTCGATGAAGGTTTACAACCTCGTCAACTGACTTACCTCTTCTCCCCAAAACTCTACACCTCACTTCTGCATTACTCGTATGGTGATACCAGGGAATACGTCCTATACTACGAAAGCAACGGTGGTCAAACACCTGAAGCCTTTTTATATCTCCCACTTTCAATGGCCATGTTACACAGCCATACAGTAGAAAAGAGCGGACTGCTGTGCAGTACACGCGACCCTTAATAGACAAACGAATATCACGGCGGCGCCATAGGTGGCGCAAATTGGCAAAAGCCAATCCCTGCAGTTCTGCTGGTGAGCCTTTGAAGCTTAAGATTTCCTTACTTCTTATCACTATGGTTAAATATTTTAAATAATGTTATCATTCATCTGTTACATATTTCTCCTTTTCTTCGCTCCACTTTTTAGAGACTGACCATGTCACAAGAGATTCCACAATGGACTTTAAGTTATGTTCGATGAAAAAGCTAACAGGATACTGAATCTTCCAAACACCCACAACAGCAATTGAAAATAATTAGGATATCTTTATTACCAAAACAGTGCAAATTGTTGCCACGCGGGTGATGTATGCGGATCCTGATTCCAACAAAAAAAGGTTAAACATCTTGAACATCGACCATGATACGTCAGCGATCGTGATATCCGAATGCCTATTACGGTCGAGGATACTGTGCAGTGATTCACTCCGCTTCACTATACGACTACAAAATATAATCATTACAGGTGGACGATATGAGAAGGCTTCAGCCTCTCCATCACTATTACCTTCGCAGGACCACCCGTGTATCAAGTGTAGAGTTGGAAATAAAAGAGGTAGGTAGGTTGGCACAGTCATCAGCCTCGTTATACAGTGTTATCGGATGTAGACTAAGTCTAACGAAGGGTTACTGGCAGCCAGTGTGAAACATTCCATCAGTCCACTAAAAGTCTCTGATAGTTAGTTAGTCTGAGTTGTGTAGGGAACTGAAGACTTCCCGGTTGGTGTGTGCGTGACGATCAAAATGGAACGTTGGAGATTGCAAGTGATATGACTCAAAATCGGTGTTATTAACGTAAAACCATCTACACATTATCTTAATTTCAATCGTTATATCTTATTTTGTGGTTTGTTTTACCTACCCTTTGTTCTTCTATTTTCATGACCTTCTAAGACTTTCGATAATATTTCCCCTGCACTTCTCTTTCACACTGTCATCTTTTATGTTACTGTGCTGATAAGAGGTGTGTGGACAATTACACAGTACATATTTTCAAAATCACCATCGTCGTTTTTTTTCCTTCCTGTGCACATTTTACACACAGCTGAAGTTTGCGCATCTCCTTAGCGTCCTAAAACACATCACTGAGAACAGACTTTTTATTGTGTAAAGAAAGTATACCACTTTTACTGAAAAGAAAGCTTCAAGTTTGATCGGTACTTCATATCATTATCACCACAATGACTGATCACTTAAAACACATAAAAAACAAGACCAATGCAAATCGATACAATCTTGACTAGAAAGCAAAACAGCAAAGAGAGAGCGAGATAAAGAAAAAACATGATTGAATACATTTTCAGCCAATACTAATCCCTTTTTGACCACCATTATGTAGGTATTCCATATCATTGTTACCAGTATTATATATGAACTATGCAGATTTCATGATTTTTTTTGGCTAGTAAAACAGTTTTATTTACACTTACCTATAACATGATATGATGAAGTAAACAACAGAAGAAAACACACAACTATATTCTTCATTTCTACAGAAGTTTACAACAATTCATTCATCAATGCAAACAAAAGGAAAAAATGATGGTCCATCATCAAAATTATGACAGACAATGGGCTGGCTATGTATATATATATATATAGAGACAGTCAGTCG